GGGTTATGCGGACAAACGGCTGAACTACGCAGCTCAAATTTAGCTTCAACCGCTCTACTGAGGATCAGCTGGCCGAGGCTGTCAGAAAATACAGCCGTCTTTACAAGTGTTCCAGCTAAACTTCTAAAGACGGACAAATCTTGGAGGGTTCCCTACATGTGCTCATTATTGTGCACTGTCTGTTGGAAAAGGTTGCAGTCTTTCTGTGACAAATTTACAAAAGTTACAACCATGTGAGCAAGAACAGTTGTCCTTCGCCTTGTTAGGTTTGCTAGCCTTTACTTTTGAATCATCTTATGTTGAGAAATGACCAAACTTCAGCTATTTTATCTTACATCTTGTGATCTAGAGAGACATGTAGCACTTGGAGTGAGAGTTTAAGCGCCTTGGMGTCCAAGTGGACTTGATAAGGCACTATATAAGTTCAAGCCATTTACCATTTAAGATGACTCTCACCTACTACACTTCAATTTTTTGCTCAATATTTGTAAAATTGACAAAGCTATGCCTATTTTTGTGTTAGCAAATATTGACTGGGTGTGGCAGCTACAGGGGTTAGACAATGAAACTGAAACCCCTGGTTTTAGACCATAACATCCCTTTCAGACAGCTTCCTCTTGCATCCACAGTTAATCCTGTTGGACGTGGTTGGTCCTTCTTGGTGGTATGCTGACATTACCCTGGATACTGTGGCTCTTGATACATTACAAAGACTTGCTGTCTTGGTCACAGATGCTCCAGCAAGACGTGCACCGATAATTTGTCCTCTTTTGAACTCTGGTATGTCACCCATAATGTTGTGTTCATTGCAATATTTTGATCAGAGCTGTGCTCTTACCCTGCTAATTGAACCTTCACACTCTGCTCTTACTGGTGCAATGTGCAATTAATGAAGACTGGCCACCAGGCTAGTCCAATTTAGCCATGAAACCTCCCACACTAAAATGACAGGTGTTTCAATTTCATTGTCTAACCCCTGTATAATAAACTGGGTTGAGTCAAAGAGGTAATGAGTTGTAGATCTACATCCAATGTTACTCTTTGCAAGTGTCAGATGAGTCTAGCTCATGAGATACTTTGCCAACACGCAAACAGTGTTGACTCCAACAGTAAATGCTAAAGTTTTAAGCAAAGCTTTTGTACAATAGGAAARATTTGTGAATAACTCTCAGCTGCTACCACAACAAAAATTAACAAAATACATAACTGTAAAATAGACTGATTTAGAACCATTGAGGCAGCCATCTTGAATTGGGTTGGCTCCAAATGTTGAAGATGGATATCTAATGATTATTTCCCGAATGCTTCATGAAATTTTATAGTCATGTGATATTTTACTAACAAACCATCTTTAGTGGATTCCAAATAGCACAAGATTTTTATAAAACATTTTGCCTTTAACTATCTGTTTACACTCACAATATAGGTTCAGGTTAAATCAAAACTATCAACACAACATAATAGTATCTGTAAAATTGACTAAATTATAATTTGTGTTTAAGGTTAGTTGGCTATGGCAGACATTTTAAATCGCATTGACATTTAAGAAGAATTGCTTTTTGATGTAAGTTCAATTGTTCACATCAAATCAAACTAAGGAATAAGTTTCATAGTGGTATGTGGGGAAAAAATGAAGCTATAGTGCATTAGTTAAAATGTCTGCAACAGTTGTGTTTTGTCTAAATATAATGAATAAATACCTTATCTATGGGCAGTTTATATTAAATAACTAAAATACAATCTTAAGGAATTTTTGGAAGCCCTTCTTCGCTAAATAACAAACAAAAGAAAAAAAAACAAGATTTTGAGCAGAAAATTATTACATTTTAGTAATTTTTCCTTGCTAGCTAACAAAGTTTTTTATTTTTATTTCCAGCTGGTAAATCTTAATATCCAAATATTGTTAGACGTTTCCTCTTTAAAATGACCTGAAAATATCAATGAGTTATCCTGATTAGCAAAACAAATGAAGGGATACCTCTGGAACAGTTCATCATATCAGGATGATCAGGGATCAAAATGTAGCTTAAAAAGCAGGAATCTCGAAATATGCTGAGGTCATTTTGACCAAATTTGACTTAATCCTCAGTTTAATGTGATGGATCATAAATATTTTGCTAACTAGGTAGGTACATAGGCTAGGCAAGTATTAGACTTGACTTTGGCCTATTCCTTTTATGYTAGGTTACTGGTTTGTAAAAGAGTGTTTCGTTTTGTTTCCTTTTGTTGTGATGTTGTAAAACCAAAATAAAACGAATCTAATCTAAAACCTAATCTAATCMAAGTGCATTAAATCAGCCATGTATGTATGAAACCCCAAATCAACCGCTGCTTAACGAGAAAATGACAAACGAAGTGACACACCGCTATCAACGGCCTCCACCTCCCTGTCGATGGCATCTCGGATCATCAGGGGGCAGATAAAGAATTGAGCCCACCTATGAGAGAAAACAACACAGAAAGGTGAGATCCTGAGCTCAAATACAAGGCAGGCAGACAGAAAGGGCATGAGTCAGACCAAAAACATGGACAAATTTYGACTGATAATAAAACCCAGACAAAAACAAACTCCTGACAGACTCTTCAGGTTTTAACGTCCCAGTTATTGCACATAARAAGTCTGATTCTACATCTTAATCTTAAAAAAACAAAACCTGATGAAACATCCCACAACACTTTAATGAAAATCAAAAACAAGAAAAGAAAACAAGCATCTCAGCTTTGATAGATTTATAATTGTTTAATTTAATAAAATATGTAAATTATTTACAGAAGCTGGAATTCTGGGTTTGTTTATGCGTTCTGAAAAATGAGGAATGAGATATTACATCATCTCTGGTCACACAGGGCTGAAATAAATAAAACTACTAATTTCTAAATACAATACAATACAATAC